GACAGGACAGCAGGATGCTTCTGTGCCAGCTGTCACACAGATTCCTCCATCTCGGCCTGCAGCTGGTTACAGTAGTTCCTGCTCAGCTATAAGCCACTCTAACCAGAAACCATGAGAGCTGAGAGCTCGCAGCTCCAATCCAGGACAGACAAAGTCTGAAGTGCCTTAAAGTATCAGCATCAACCTGGATTTTTCTTTGAGAAAAAAAATTAATGCATTTAAAAAAAAAATTACTCCTCAAAAATAACTTCAAGCTATTTGAGCACAAACCCCGTCTGTCTGCAAATGTTTGTTGTTATTTAGAAATCTCCACCCACTCGTTGCTGCGGATCGCTTCAAGCGATGCTGAAGTGGTCCATGCTGGATTTTAAAGTCTGCTTTTGATCACTGCCCTGAAGAACCCACTCGTTTCTCTTAGTTCACTTTCCTGCACAACATTTGCTCCCACAGCTTGCTGGGATTTAGTGAGATGTCATGTGTGCCCTCTACATAACCCCAAATCAGAGTATTTCCACCCTCACGCTTATGCCATGTACTACTGATGCATATAGCATCAGGTTATAAATCAGTCTGCAGCCAAAGAACACAAAATATATAACAGCTGCTTACACTGACTTCTTCTTTGGGCTCAACCGCGTGAGTCCGACGGCTTTTCTTCGCCTTGGGCTCCTGGCTGCCTTTGAGCTGGGAAAAAAAACAGAAAGGGTCAATAATCAGAGTACGCTGGTGTCCCAGCAGGCTTTCTTAAATGATGACAGAAAAGATGGAAACAAAGTGCTGTAAGGATATTAAAGAAAGCAGTAGTAGATGAGGGGCTGGCTGGATCATCCCCTGAACTAACAGTCTTTTAGTATAGATTTTATTACAGGAGAAAAAAGACAAGTGTCTGATAAGTTAGTGTTACTTGAGTAGTCACACCGTAAATAGATGTAATGAGAACAATAAAGTAGTTTAAAAATAAACTTTAAACGCGGGTAAAGACAATTTTAAACAGTTCACAGATTATCATCATGTCTAAATCAGTACTCACAATTAGACTAATTTAAGGAACTCAGGATCTAATAAGAAATTTCTCATAAAACAAAACAAAAATCTACCAAAACTAAGTCAATAACATTTTTATAGCTACTTTTTAAGTGTATAATTCATGTATTAACCGATTTAATCATTACAGTTACTGCTCCATAGAAAATATCTGATTCAAGTTTGTTTCCATGTGTCCTTAATAGTTGTGTCAGTATGATTTATGTTTTATTAGCCTCATAATTTAAGGATTTGCATCCAAAGGAACTCGGAAAATTACAAAACATTCAGGCAACAATGCAGCAGTTCAGCCACCAGAGGGCACTGTTTGTTTTATTTTAGTCTAATCTACCCGAGTTGGGTTTATTTTAGTGCCAAGTTGTGTTAAAGTTTTATTGTGTGTGTTTTCCGTAACTAAACTTTTGTTTTTAATGCAACAGCTTTTGGTTTGGCATGTACTACCTGACGCTTCGGTGTGTTTAAGCATTTTAGGGTGAGTTTGAGGCGTGTGGTCGCTCTAAATATAAAAGGTGCTATAGAAGAGAAACCCTCACAGGAAGTGTAAACACAACTCAAGGTCAAGTTGTGAATGCTTCATGTTTTGCATCTTTGGGTCCTGTGTAGAAACCTATTAGCGCTTTGTGACGAGTTAGTTTATATCCTAATCAGGTCGAAGCTTTTTCCTGTTATGTACTTGTTACTTTTAAAGAAAGCATGTCCTCATATGGGCCAGTGCATTTATTTTACAGTAACACACCATAAAGTCACTACTGACTCTATACTAGTACGCAGAGCTGTGAGGAACTCTGAGTTTTTTCTTTTGAACTACCACATTGTTGCAGAAACATTGTTACGTCAACTTCATTCACACAAACTGGAACATTACCAGGTCAACTGTCATAGTTTTCACATGATGAAAACCGGAAACAAAAAGGGACAAAGCATTTATTCCCAGAGGTTCGACTATCCGGTCAAAAATATTAATGCTGCTCTTTTCATCCAGGGAAACTGAGAACCTTCCAGGCCTTCATGATTTTCACGTTAGCTTCAAAACTGGCTTTTGTGCTTTTTAGAAAAAACTCATTAAGTTTTAAGGAGGGCTTTGAAACAGAAACAACATTAAAAAGCTATTTTTGAAAGTAAGAAACAACAAAAAGATTGTTTCCGGGTGTACAACTGATACTGGGCCCATCCAGGGTGTACTGGAGAGGTGAATGGAAGAGCTCAGTAGACAGCTGGAGAGAG